CTAACTTCACAATAGTGCTATCAAAAGATATCATCTGTCCAAAAACAGGTAAACTATTTACTCTCCGGTTATGCGTGTCTATACAAATTGTTCTTGGTTTTTACAATAGTCTTGTGGATATTTGATCTATATTTGATCTGTTTTTGTTGTTGCTTTCCAAAATGTGTTATGCTAAGAATAAAAATTGAAATTTGATTGAGTTATTACACCTCTGGTACTTGTTAAATTGATTTTCATATGCAGCATCACTTTTTTTAAGCTGCAGTTTGGAGATAAGTTAAAACTTCTATGTTCACCCTCCAAGAAACTCAAGAACCACACAGTGATTTGAATTTTGTCAGGTTACATTCTTATAGAATTAAAAGAGGAACAAGTCTGGTTGGTCAGCACATTAATATTACACACCAAAAAGAAAACAAAAAAATAAAATAAAAAACATAATAAGCTCTTTTATATCTTGTGGAATTTTCCATCATCAAGTGTCAAATCTCTTAATTGCACAAGACTTATTCATCTGCAACAACAAGAATGCTCTGTCATTGTTGGCATATGATACATGGATCTCAGCGTGCATGCTATTTTCAACAATTCCCTGGACAGTTACAGTATATGCTTTTCATGTAAAATCCTTTCGATAAATGGTCGTGATTATGTGTTCAGCTTAAAAAGTGAAAGGATGATTGAATTCCCTAGGAAGTTACCTTGTTATGAGACTTGTATATTGCGGTTGTCCCAGATTGCTGATGGCATTTTTTATGGTATCATATGATTATGCCCAAAAAGAGACAAGATTGACTTGATGAACTCTATTTTACATGGAATTAGTTTTTCTGGATACTCCACATAGTTCTGGTGTTGTTCTTCTCAAATTTGCTATTATTTTCAGTTAAGAGCCATGACTATGTCTGATTCAATATAAAAACCACGTACTTACAACTTAAAAACTATAAACGCAGATAAAAACTGGTTGGGTCCGTGGTCAAGTCTGCTTTGTCAGAGACAGAAAATCCTTGTGGTCAAGTGCTTGCAGGAATTGCCACAAAAACTATAACGTACCCCCAAACACAACAATCAAATGTCGCGGTTGCCAAGAAGATTCTTTCGTTGAAGCAAGGTAAAAGTTATAAATAATAACATTAAATGTTTTAGTTATAAGAAAAACTCTTATAAAATAAAGATTGTCTAATACTTCCTCAAAAAATTCAAATGTAGACTACCCATTAAAATCCATGATGAATCTGGCAATATGAATGCATTGATCTATGGTGCTGATGCTGAGAAGTTAATACCTTTTACCGGCTATCAGTTATATAAAGCAGATGAAGAGGTCAGTAAATAAGCTTCATATTCTCTTTTATAAATATTTTAAATCACACTTATTTATATTCCAATGTTCAGTTCCCAAGTAAATTTTAATTTATCTTCGCTGCCACAGGGAAAGGATTTAACCATCCAAATTGCAGACTCAGTGAAACAACACAATGTCATTTGTTTCATCAAGCACTATCAAGCAGATTACCACACTGTTCTGAAACTCTACACAGATGACGACATCGCTGCCCTAAAATATGCAACTATATCCAAGTCAGTTGAAAAAAATAAAGCTTCCTCAGTGTCAACAAAGGTAGTTCAATAAAAAAAACAAAATAAGTTATATGTTAAAACAATTTCTGTCTTAACATTTATCACTCATTGTCTATACTGTAACAGGTTGTGGAAAAACAATTCTTTAGCATCAACCCAGGGACTTCGGCCTCAACATCCAAAAAACGCCACATCTTTGAAACAGAGCCAAGCACGACACGAACATCCAAAACCACCTCGCCAAAATCTGAGCCAACAACTGATGACAACACACCACAAACTTCAACAGCAACAAATTCAAGCCCTCAAAAAAAGGCCCGCCCTGCTGTTGGTCCACAGTAGACCATCACTGTGCCATCTTAATTGTTATGGCTACCACTTTTGAACAACTTTTGAATGAACAAGACTGTTACAACTTACTTTTGGATCCACAGATCTGCTTTGTATAAGCTGATATTTATATTTTGTTTATTTGTTGCACATAATTTTGAATCATCTGTATATATAGATGTTTAAAATTCTGTGTGCAAACTATTATCCATGGCAGATTAGGCAGACCCCTAATCCTTTTGGTATCTTTTGTAATTAACAGTACTGAATTTGAACATCTTTTGACAGCAATTGATAATATTACTATATATTTTGTACTTAGCGCTGTTAAACTTTAATTGCAATCTTTTGTATGCATATGTTATACCCAAATGTTATTCAATCATAATCGCATTTATACAACAATTTAATTAGCCCAAAAATGGGCCGGCTGTGCTGTGCACAGCGTGAGTTTCCTAGTATATATATATATA